AGGTGCCAGAAGACTTTTAGTGTTGTCACAATGGGTCAACTTCAATATGCTTAATTCTGGAAACTACTTTGTATCCACTCATAGTTTACCTCACTATCTAAAAAGCCATCCATTTGATACATGGGATTATGTCCTGGGGACTTAATAGTATAATTTCCGTAAGTGAAAAGGCAATAATTAGAAGCAAATTGGCCATTTGCAAAGATTTCAACAAACTGGCTGCATCCAGTGCTACTATACTCTCATCTCAGCATGAGACATAGGTTATCTCTGGATGTACACTGGGTATGCGTATTTTGTTTCCCGAAAGGAAAAACAAAAATCTGTCGGCACAAGGTAAGACCTGAACACTGCTTTGTTCATTCTTACAAGCCAAAATTAAATGGGCAAGTACATGGATACTGCATGACCTCCTCCAATAAATCTATGCAGAGAATAGTTGGATCAAGTTTGGGGAATCACTATTGTACTCAAAGCAATCTGTTGCAAATGGACCACCAAAACTCAAGGCAGTCAGCAATTCCTCTCTTTCCAGTCTCTTATACTTGCAAAGCACAAATGCAATACTCCAATGAAATAGAAGTACGTTTCTTTATTTTAACATGTTGTCAAAAGGTTGTTTTAGTTTAACAAAGCCAAACTATTTTATTTGAACAAACCATACTTTTTGCTTGCTACTTTCCTTTCCCAAATCAATGAAAAAGGGACTTTTTCTTCCAAGGTCAGATGCCCATTTTTTAAGTATACACTGCAATGAATGTTCCTGGTAAGGTTGGGTGCATTTGTTGACCAAGCCAATGCACAAATTAATGCATTCATCACAGCTGTACATAGTTTTCCTACATAATTAAAATATATGCAACTATAAAAATCATAAAATCAACAGCAAATGTGAGATTTCCAGAGTAATACAAATAAATGCATCTATAAAACATGAATGTTTTCTATAAAGCTCCCTTGATAGTCTTTTTTTTAAGACTATTTAGTAATTAACCACAGCAGTGCTAAGTACTGAATTTCACTAGTTCAGAAAACAAAAATTTATAAGGTACAAAGAGGTTTAAAGCACAATCTTATATCGAAGGTCTTTAGAATTAGGCAAAGTTCCATTCTGCTGGTGGAATGGGAAGCTGCCACAAAAGGTACTATACTAAAATACCCCAGGAACCTTAGTGGAAAAACAGAAATTGGAAAAAAGAATAGGTAGCACAAGGGAATGATACATACGTGATATCATCAATCTTTTCAATCCCATTGATAATGGTAGTTTGATCCAGCCTCAAACCTGGTGAAACTATTTCCCCTCCACTAATTTCAGTAAAAAAAAGAAAACATTTTAAAAAGTTGACCTCACTTCAACATATAACTTACCCACATCATCATAGAGTACATCACAGAAGTGAGTACACCACTCACATTTTGTAAATATTTTACTATATCTTTTCATGTGACAACACTAAAGAAATGACACATGAAAAGATATAATAAAATATTTACAAAATGTGAGGAGTGTAATCACTTCTGTGATCTATTCTAACACAGCCTAGAATAGGGATGGGAAACCTTTTAGAGACCAATAGGGTCATGAGTTTCTGGGCATAGCTGCCCATTCTACACACATTCCAAGAATCAAAATCATGCCAGGACACCTCATTTTTGTAATCCAAACACGAACCTGGTGCACACCCCTAACCCTAATACAGGGCTAAAGTTCCATTCAAACTAATGTGATTTAGAAAAAGCCTTCCTTGAGTAGTTTTTCTGCACAGCTCTCAATTTCTGCCCATTCTGAACACATTCCAAACATCAAAAAAATGCCACGACACCTCATTTTCCTAACCCTAACCCTACCCTGGTGCACACCCCTAACCCTTAATAGAGGGTGAATGTTCCATTGAAAAGAGGGCGATTTTGAAAAATCCTCCCTGACCAGCTTTTTCTGCACAGCTCTCCATTTCTGCCCATTCTGAACACATTCCAACCATCAAATCCATGCCAGGATTCCTCGTTTTTCTAACCATAACCCTACCCTGGTGCACACCCCCAACTCTAATGGAGGATTAAAGTTCCATTGAAAAGAGGGCGATTTTGAAAAAGCCCTCCTTGAGTAGCTTTTTCTGCACAGCTCTCAATTTCTGCCCATTCTAATCACATTCCAACCAACAATTCCATGCCAGGACACCTCGTTTTTCTAACCCTAACCCTACCCTGGTGCACACCCCTAACCCTAATAGAAGATGAAAGTTCCATTGAAAAGAGGGCGATTTTGAAAAATCCTCCCTGACCAGCTTTTTCTGCACAGCTAGCCATTTCTGCCCATTCTGAACACATTCCAACCATCAAATCCATGCCAGGATTCCTCGTTTTTTTAACCCTAACCCTACCCTGGTGCACACCACTAACCCTAATAGAGGGTGAAAGTTCCATTGAAAAGAGGGCGATTTTGAAAAAGCCCTCCTTGAGTAGCTTTTTCTGCACAGCTCTCCATTCCTGCCCATTCTAAACACATTCCAAACATCAAAACCATACCAGGACACCTCATTTTTCTAACCCTAAGGCAGTGATGGTGACCCTTTTAGAGTCTGAGTGCCCAGACAGCAAAATAAATCCACTCATTTATTGCAAAGTGCCAACTCTACAATAAAACCTGAAAACTATCCTTGGCAGCGCACTGACCAGCCATGAAAAAGGTCCGACAAGGTGTGGCTAATAAGTCACGACTCGTGACATCATCGCCTCGTGCCACTGGTTCTTTCCCAGCATGTGCGGTGTCATCCAATGCTCAGCTGCTGGGGTGATGCTGGGGCGACTTCGCTCACTTGCCGACAGAGAGGGCTCTGCGTGCCTGCTGTGGCATGCATGCCATAGGTTCGCTAGCACTGGCCTAGTCTATCAGGCACTCCACAATCTAATTGTTAATCACCCAGAAAGTTTTGGCTATTGGGGGTACATAAATAAAGTAGGGGAGAATCCCAGTACACATGAAGGCTATTATTCAAATGACAGAATGCAAGGTATGGAGCTACATTCTCGGGCCTCATATCATGCACACTTAACGATCCACAGGTTTTCAGGTTGCCTTGAGGGGCACAGGTGCTCCCACACACTTAGGTTAGACTGACTTGCATATAGCTTGTGGGCCACAGATGCACACTCAATATGGCTTCAGACCTAGCATATATAACAGGTTGCCATGCAATTGGACACGCAACAAGCCTACAGTAATCATGCTGCAGAGCAGTGAGGAAAACAGCAGCAACAAGCATACCCCTTAAAGTAATGTGTAAAATTGTATTTGCACCGAGATAAAGATTAACATTTGAAAGAGTTTTACCTTCCTTTTTTACTACATTGAGTTCCCCAAGTATTCTAAAATGTTCTTACTAAAAAGATGGAAGTTACCACTATACAATAAAACACAGTATACAAACAAAATCAGAAGACTGAAATTCAACAGCAGTATGAGAAAGATAACTCAAGTAACGGCTTAGAATCAGAATCAGGCAATAAATTTCCTAAAAAGGAAAACATCTTCAACATTTTCCTAAACACCAGGAGCAAAGTGGTTAGACAGCCCTCCCCCTGGAAGGAGTTCCACAAGGGACATGAAAGAAGACACTGAACTGGATGACTATTCAGCAGGTAATGGGAGCATTCATAAAAGGGTCTAGCCTGAAAATCCAAATACTTGGGAAAGAATATCTGAAGTATAAAAGTTATCCTGCCTGTGACAAAATAGATTCTTTATAACACTGTTCATCTATATTATATGTATTTGTTTATTTTATGTCCTGATCTTCAGCAGGTTCCCAGGTTGACCTATAAATGTTATAATTACAATAAAACAAGTAGAACTGCTCTCCTGGTACTGTGTGCACTTCTTAGACAACAGATGTCTATCCTTATTGAAGATCAGTTTTTAAACTGAATAAATGCTCTGTAAGCACTACACTATTTAAGATGAAATCTACTACAGCAATGGAACAGAGCAATGCTATGACCCAGAAAGATCCATGGATATAACTTTATGCCAATAATACCTAATCTTCTGGGGTTGGAAGTTACATTTGAAATTCTAATAGAGTGATGCACAAACTCTCACAAAATGACTACCATGGTGCTGGAGGGCAGCACTTTGTTCTTGAAGCATTCAAGCATCCCAGTTAAAAAATAAATGAATAAATAAGCTGAAGTCCTATAGCAAATAAAAATCAGGAGAGGCAAGATACCTGGCAGACACCAAGAGAATCATCTGCATGTACTATTGTTGCTCAGGTGCACCACAATGGAGACATTAACTGGAAACATTCATAAGTAACCATAGGATTTTCTAAGAGAAGAAAAGACACTGGAATGCTTATGGCATTTACTGAGAAAAATCAAGTAGCATGTAATTTGCTGAGAAAAAATGGAAATATAGGATGCATGTATAATATATCCTGAGCAGGGGTACCTGTGATTTTATTCCAGGGATTCTGTAGTTAAGATCACAAAACAGTAAGAAGCCTGGTGAAATCAAAATAGTCAATGGCCTGTTTTTCAAGATGGTATGTCTGATTTTTTTAGGTTTCTCTATATCTAATTATCTACAACAACATTTCCTCAAATTCAGCATTGTACATAGATCTCCACCCTTGTCAGCAATTATGGAGTTACTGTATACTCCAGCTATTCCTGAAAGTAAAAATAGCTGCTTCTTTCATAATCTTCTCACATATGAAACTGTCATTCTCCTCCCTGATTATACTATATGACTAAATGAGGGGTTCAAAAAGGGCAAATGCACTGCATCCCTACTCTAAATTCAAGGAGTTCAATATCATGCATGTCTAATTGCTATAGGCTTCATAATACACTGAAGTCTTTCATTCAGTCTCCAAGTAATCTTTGGCTTTTCAAAGGCTGTACATTTATGTAGCTGATTGGCTCACAATACAAACTTTCAGATCTAATAGTATATAACATGCTCTTCAGCCAAAATGTAGTTTATTTCCACTTACGTGATTTATATAGAGACTCTTCCGTTTTTCTCTCACTGTAAAAACAAACATGTAAAAATGTTAAATGATTTTATCTCAATTAACTTTTTAAAACATCTATCATCAGAAACAAAAAGTTATAACCTCCGTGAAACTAACAAGAAAGGTGGGAAAAACATCTCTTAATATTATGTTTATATTCACTGTTATACTGGTACTCAGTTACAGGTAATTGATTGTTAAGCAACCAAAGAACAAGATGTACTATAATTCTGCTGCCTAAAACAGTCCTAGCCTTATGGTCCATTTTTTAAAGTGTGGCTGGAACTTGTTCCTAAAACCAAATTAGCTTTTGATAGACTTGAATGGCACCAAAAGGTGAAATCTGCATTACTGTAGCCAAAATGATTATGGTGATTAGTCTGCAAAAACAATTATTAACGGGTTAATGAAATGTTTCTGTTAATTAGAGACACAAACCAATGCTTTTGATACAAAAAGCAAAGTATATGCCACCTTCACAAGCTAGGACCACTGGGCACAGTTCTATTTCACTACACCATCCCCTTTGCTGCCACCCTCATGCTGGTCACTGCAGCTCCAAAACACCAGCTGATGCCAGTCCATTAATGCAGATGCAAAAGAACATTATATTATTAATATTCGAAATGTCTGACTTGCATAAGAATTTTTCCTGCCCAAGAGTTCTCAAATAAATGCCATACTCCATTTTGCTCAAAAGGCACAGTGACATTGGAAACTGTAACATCAAACATAATCATTATTGGTTTCATCTACTTGACAGGAACACTTGTTAAAAATGAGATGCTTCACATAAAAACAATGATTAAATGAAGCTGAAGAAGTTTAGAGTCCAGATTGAAAAAACAAGCTCTTCCTAATTTTTCTGTTACTTTTTTCCCCTAAACAGGATTTGTTTAAAGCTAACTATTGGACAGCAGCCAAAGTTTCTTAATTTGCTATAGTTTTAAACTCCAGTGCTCCATTCTTATATATCAAAGTGCAATTTAACTATTAAGCCATTTAATACAGTAGGGAGTAATAATTTAAGTGACATTATAAGTGAAAAAGTATTTTTTCAAGTTATTGTGCTTTTCAGTTACTCTTTTGTACAGTGTGTCAGAGGGAGCATTAGTGGAAGACTTCAAAAGGACAAAAGGCAATATGTTTGAGTTAATAATTACACATCAATTATAACCTCTTGCACTTTGATAGCTTTTAAATAATTCAGTGCAGGAATAAAAGCTACATTTCTTCCGTTTGGGGAACTGCCTGGTACTGATCTAAGAAAAGGACTGCATGTATGCAAAGAGTATTTCTCTTCATTTCTCTTCAAACCATTAAAATGATAATTGGATTTCTTTTTTTCTTTTGAAGCTGACAACTGTACTGGAAACAAACAAATACAATGAGGAGGAGGCTATACCAAAAGCAACTGTGAATGGAGTCAGACCCAATTCCAATGCAAACAAGGCACTTCTCAGTGCTCTAGTGACATAAATCCCAATATGACTTTATCATTTCTTGGCTTCAATCCTCCTTTTTAGCAAATCACTGTAGTTTTGGCCTGAAAATAATTCAGGTGGAGTTCTGTGTGGAAAAACCTGAGCTTTCTACTAGGGAAAAAGCATGTGCTTTGCACATAGGAAGTCTAAGTTTGACATTTCCAGCACTAGAAATCTCAGTGCCAGCTCCAAGTCTTTGAAGGCTGTTGAGCAAGACAGTCACAGTAACTCCCCATCACCACCAAATGTGTCAATTTTCTCGACACCTTTGTTCTCAGCTGCTATTGCTCTTCCTCTGCTTCCTCATCATTGTTATCACCTGGCTGAGCAGGTAAGCAGTGGCTTCTACTGCTCTTCTTTCTCCTCCCACCCATCACCAGTGCTTGGCCCAGAGTGAGAGGCAAATGAAGAAGGTGAAGCAGAAATAGGGAAGGACTAACTCCAAAGAGTTCTTGTCCACAGACACATGTTGGAGCATGGGACCTCACCAAGCACCCAGCATGCTTATCCTTAATCCCAAGCCAGATGGGAGCCATTGAGCTTAACAGAGACATCAATCTGACTCTGCCAAAGTACATCAAGTCTCCAGAGATGCACTAACATTAAAAATAGTGCTCTCTGAAGCTAAAAGGAAACGGGGCAGGGGAAATGTTGGCAGCCTATGGATGAACTGTCAGTTTTTCAGGAAGTAAATGTTCTATAATACAGGGAAGAGTCACCTCTAACCCACCACAAACATCTCCCAAAATTTCCCTTCCCCAAGCTTGATAAACATAATGCATATATTTGGAAAAACTGGGCAAAAGAAGGTAAATTGGACTGTATCAATAGCTATGTCATTAAAACTGTCATCATGTTAAAGAAAGAGGCAGAAAAGCACTCCTGAAATGTGTAGCTTTACTTACCCCGTGAAACAACACAGTCAGAGGAAACATAGCTCTAGAACTACAAGGCAGGCCACCATAAGGAGACACATTCTGCCTTATTTATTTCCAACCTTCCCACCAAAACAGCAACCAAAGCTAACATTAAAGGTTTAAGTCCCATTCCATGTCTCCTTTTGTGACCAGAACTTTAAAAGAATCCTCAGACTAATGTAGGCTCTTCTTCTGACTAACTTATGAAAACACACACCATATACTTTTCTGGGCACATACTGAATTTACTTCTAACACCAGAGCTGGCCAACTGCTCTCCTTTAGCTTCTACAACGCTATGGGTCTTTTTTTAGGGAATGGAATTTCGCATCTTTGCAAGCATGGCCTAAAATTAGAAATTCTGAACAGTGTTTTGGGAGTGAAAGGCTGCAGAACAATAAAAATGTTCCAGTTTCGGTAAAGATTTGGGCTGCAATCCAGAGCATCGGAAAAGTGCACATGCCATAGTCTCCTAACAGCACAAAATGAAACCTGTATGCCTAACATAAATTCCAGAAAGCATGAACTAAACACAGTTAAGCTATTTATTTAACATATTTGCGCCCTATCTTTTTAACTGCAAAAAATAATAATAATCACAAGGACAGTAAAGAAATTCAAGTATAGCATATTATCATAAAATATAAATTAGAAAACAGTAAGGCAACAAATCAGCAGGAATTATGATATAACATCAGTAAAATACCAAGACAACTGTATAATTGGTAAAATTCCAGTAGCATGTATAAAAATTGTCACCACAGTTCATCTAACAGTTTTGACCTCATGTCAAAAACCCAGGAAATCAATGGAAAAGGCATTTTAAGAAAAAACAGTACATGAGAAAGGAATAGTTAACCCTTCCTCTCCAGATGCATTCTATCTTGAAAAATGCCTTTGCACACCAATTAACTGAGAAAACAAAATATTTGATTGGCACCAATGGATAATCTGGGCTCTGTGAAGCAGACCCAGCACTTTCAGAACATAACTGAGGCCCTATCAGCTCAGGTTCAACAACACCAATGAGTCTAAATACAGATCTAAAAATGCACCTACTAACTAGCAATCCTTCTGCACAAATCAAATCAAATTTTCAAAAGTTACTTTTAAAACTTGGAAAATCTGTCAAAAAAAGGTGCCGGAACTCCATTCCGGTGCGTTCTATGACAAAAAAAGCACTGCTTCTACAAGTTCAGGGCAGCTGCACTGGAGTGCGAAAAAGCTACGGTTTCTCATTAAGTTTTTGTTCAAGTGGTTTTCCACACCACGGAGGAAGCCACTCGAATGCAGTTGACTGCAAAGTATATGAAATCAGAACAGTGGTCTGCAGTATCATGCATCTTAACAATCAAAGAGATGTCAACATTCTTTGCCCACAATGAAACCTTAAATTACTACACCAAAGTGAAACATTAATGTGAACATTCCCCCATCCCCCATTTTATGACCACTGACTTTTTTTCATGACTTTGCATAGCTTGTGACCTTCTGGTGTTTCACCACCAATATCATAGCACCACATGATTACGACTTGATGATATTGAAGAGAGGACAAGCAAAGTCAGCACGATGCTGTAAGGATTTGACAGAAGCAAATCCCTTTCCCTGCAGACAATCAGGATAACATGTCCAGCTTTGCCAAGTTTAAATAGTTGACTTGCCTTTGCAACATACCAGCCTGTTCCTTCTTTCATTAAGTGCAAGAGCAGTGTGATGACTCTGCTTGCCCTCAGAGACATGCCATGAAGTCAAATTTGATTGGCTTCATGGCTAAATCGCTCTCCTTCACCCACATACTCAGAAAACCAGAAAGGAGGTGGTACAAAAAATGTTCACAGAAATTAGTCACCCGTTTGGGTTCATCCTAGTTTCGATTTCCAGTAAAGTTTACAGTATAGCTATAAAAACAGCTAGTAAAAATGTCACAAATTGCACAAAGATTTCCCCATTATTCTCTGGAATGACAACAGAAGTAAACATCACGCAAAAATGGGGATTAAAGCAGCAGATGAATGCTTCTACTAATGCTTACCACCTTATCATTTTAGCAATTTTATGTTTCAGCTTTATTATGTTGGCCTCTGTTATATTACTTTAGTTTTATATCTGATTGCAGACATGTTTATTTCTTTATACTCCTGATTGTTTTTGCTGGTGTTTAATTTGCATTTTGTGTAGTTTTTGTGTTTTGAATAATGCCTAGAAAATTTATTTATAAGGCATTTAATAAAACAAGCAAATAAAACCTTTATAGCTTACTGCAGGTCCTGATGTCAACATGAGGGGAATTTCCCTGAGCGGACACAAAACAGACAATTATCTGCTGTCATCATGGCTAGGTTTATTGCACCAGAATGCTCTGTGGTTCAACACAGATGAAAGCCACTGTGGTGTGGCAGTTCGAGTGTTGGGCTGAGGATCCTGGAGATCTGGGTTCTATTACCTACTTAGTCATGAAGCTCCCTGGGTGTCTTTGGGCCCATCAACCACTCTCAACCTAACCTACCTTACAGGGTGGTTGTTGTGAGCATAAAATGAAGCAGAGGACTATATAAGTTGCCTTGGGTTATATATTCAACATAGTAAGAATAGTTTACATTGGGACCCAAAGGCATTCCAGGGTAATCTAGAGGGTGGCCACAGATGCCATAGCTCTGCTAAGCGCTTCTCTCCTTTGCCTGTCCCTGCCACCTGGACAAGTAAACTTGGCAAGAACAGGCTGCAAGTAGCATGTATGAAAGATGTCTCAGTCCAGTACTCAGAGGACAAGTGAGAAATGAAACAGGTGTAACAGTAACTGCTGCTGTTATTTCATTCTTGGAGGGCCTCTACCATGGGTGGCTCTGGAAGATCAGCCTAGAAAGCAGTTAGCACAGAATGTTATGTAGATGGGGCAGAGGGAAATCAACAAATAGCCACCATTTTCAGTAGCCATTTCTTTAACAGACAATATGGTTGCCATTTGTTACACATGATAGCTTCTGGATGAAAAAAGTCCAAACACTGCCAATTGAATAATCCAACAGCAACTGAATCTTTCTCCCCTGATGACATCAAGAAACACTCTAAAGCAAACACTGCTAATTTCCATAGGAGGTAAAAACCCAGAAAAATAAACGATGTTCCACTCCACTGATGAATGAACCAAGCACCAGAATGCCTGGGTTTTATTTTTAAATGGTGCTTCCTAAAATGAAATATAAATGAACAACTTCAGCTTTGAGAAATAAATATATCTGGTGAGAGCCTCAGCAGATGCAAACTTTTCCAGTTAAACTAACTTGCTGAAGAATGTTTCCAAAAATAAGCAATTCTTGCAAGTTTTTAAAAAGGGACATCATTTACAAAGAGACAAGAGAAGAAGAGTATTGTATCTAGAGAGAAAGAGAGAGAGCGTGAGTCAGAAGGGGCCTCAAGATCTAGTTTCAAGATCTTCCTTGGCTTTAATAAATTGGGTTACCTTTGAGCAAATAACCATTTCTCAGCCTATGGCAGAGTGGCCTACATTACAAATGTGTAGTAAGCACTCCTAAGAGCCAAACTACATGTTACACTAAACATATAGTCACATTTACATGTTTGGAGTTTGTTGTGGAAGCATCAGGAGCAAACCATGGCACACAGAGATTTAGCCTATCATACTATGGTCCTAATGAAGATCTGCCTCCAGATGCTATATGGTTTGGGATGGCAGCTACTAAAAAAAAAAAAAAAACACGTTCACCACAGTACCATTCTTCATCTATTCTCCCTCAGTGCTATTGCACAAAACAATCAAGAAAAAAGACATATTAAATGCAGTAATTTATAATGTGCTGCCTAGCCCTGAAAAGCACTCTATATACAGAAAAAATGCAATAAAAGCAAGTATTGACTAGTACTTTTAAGGACAAGAGCAAAACCTACATGCCATCAAAGTTTCCCTTATATACAAAACTGGGTGCACTAAACAGCTGAATTACTATTTTGTACTTATTTGGTATAAATGAGACCATACATGGTAAGTTTTTTAGTACTTTGCAAAACTTTATAATAAAGATGGTATATGGCTACTCATATATGGTATATAACCATTCAATAATTTATGAAAGGTATTTATGGTATATATATATATACCACTCATAAATTATGGTATATAACCACTCAATATTTTAACATCATAGTCTACATTCTTTTCAAATGAAGATTTATATCCATAGAAGAAAAATCTACATTATATGGTTATCAGTTACAAAACACTTAAGTTGTGTCTCTATAATGGAAACAGATGAACTGTAAATAAACACAAAGGATTCAAAACAAAAGCTAAATAATAAAAATAATATAGTAGCCTAAACTCAGTGATTCATTCCCTTTGAAAATTCACTCAAATTGAGAATCAATAGCATGTGAACACAAAAGTCATTTTGGAAAACGAGACTGAATTGTATATATTGAATTGCATCAAGCCCATTGTAGAGTCTAGCATTTTTCATTGCTGATGAACTTCTTTTTTAAGAGAAAGAGTTTGCTGATCAAAAGGAAGCAAGATCATTCTTCATTCTCAGATTCTTTTGTTAATGCCCTAAACTAAATAAATCATGCAAAGACTGGCATCCTTAACAGCTTTATTGGAACTTATTCAAAAACAAACATGTATAGGATGAAAGTCTTGGTGTGATTAATTTCCATTTTTGGATCAGCTGACAAAACGATCTGAGCATATGAAATCTTGATTCAATGCATTTGCATTAGATAACTTGTCCTATAAATGCCATGATAAAACTGATGCACCAAAATTCTTTGCTAATGATGGAATATCTCAATTGCTACTGGATAAGATCTTACAATTGGGTCAGAAATATATAATGTACTCAGCAGTCTGATTCTTAATCAATAATCTTTCTTCCAACACTAAAATAAAACTGATTACTCACCATCCGTTTGTGATTTGCTGAGAAATATTGTGCTGGCCCGTGGGTGATCTGAAGGATTGAACTCCATGTTCAAATCTTGAAAGAGAAAGAGGAAAAATGGGAATATAGATTGCTTAGGATAAATAGATTTTCTTTCATAGCTCAACCACACATTCATCCATTCTGAATTAACTAATGCACAGTCCTGAGATCCCAAATTAACCCTTTTCCCACACAGGGTATCCTTTGTAAAAAGAAAAGTTTGTAGTTGTGAGCATCATTCTGCATCTACATACCTACCAATAAAGTAATGAGCAAATCACTGAGATGAGGACATGAGCTGGCTTTAAAGGGGGATTAAACAAGCTCCCAGTGGTGGTCATGGCTGAAGGTAAAAGGGCACAAGGCTAACCTCCCACCCATCCCCACCCCACCCCACCCCACCCCCAAGATGTTGCCATGTTTTAGCTTAACGTTCCTGCCATCAGTAAGTACCCTTAGGACACTGTAACTTTTTACAGTGGGGAAAAATGCACAAAAGGGAGGAAACTACAAACTGGTCAGTACCTAGAGTAAGGGAGCACAGCTTTCTGGAAATGCCTAGGAGGCTAAATTGAAAACTCTGAAGGACTGAATTCCCCCTGCTGCTCTAAACAAAGCCTCTTCACACAGTAAATATTTCAACCCTACACCTAAACCTGCAGAAATGTGAATTGGCAAACTACGGTTTTCAAGCACAGGCTTCCTACTCCTTAGGGGACCAGGATTAGCTGCAGTTCGTTATCAAACGTTGACCTCAGAAGTGTGCCCAGTGAGACGATCCATTAACAGGGCTGCTGAATGATTATGGTGAAGAAGGGAAACCCATCTGGGCTTCTCTTTTGCCTTTCAGTGGGCAGAAATCAGCAAGGAAGCTTTCTATCATATAGAGATCAGCCTAATTATATGCTCAAAACAGCCCATCGTAAGGTTAAAGGCTGCACAAACTGAAACAGTAAAGAGTCAGGAACACCTATCAGTGTGAGGCAAATAAAGCAGTTTCTGAGATGAACTTCCATGAGTGAGGTGTATAATTCAAACTGCCAGGTGTTTCCTTAAGTTCATGTCTAAAGCCAAAACAGGAATCCTTCATCTTGTTTAGACAAAGTTGGCATGCACATACGCCTCTTACAACATGTACAGCTTTTAGGGAAATGCATTCAGCTGAGCCTGGTGACCAAAACATGGACATATTTAGCAACTCCACAGACCAGCTCTGTTATCTGCCAGCCAAAAACAAGAAGTGGAGAAACCACCTAGGGATGATACCTTATTAGCAAGGAACATTCTTCACTTGGCTCTAAGTTTGTCAAATTCATCACATCAAGCAGTAATGAAGTTAAAGAAAATAGTGGTAAAGAGATTTATTCAAGAAAGGTCAAAAAAGAAAGAGAAAAGGATGCTATCTTGGCATTACTGCCACACAGGAAGGAGGCCACCACAAAAAGAGTGAAGGCCTGGTATCCTAGCAACTAACTGCTGCTGAGGAATTCTCAGAACATTCCTCAGGATGCAAATAGGAAACACAAGTCTTTGCTTACTGGCTTTATTAAAAAATGTCACAGGAATGAGCTTCAGGAAAGGACAAGGATACACACATGCCCTTTTGGAGCAGAGTTAAGAGCTCATTTCCTTATACTTTCTGCTTAGCCACATTCACACGCCTGACTTGCACGAGACGCCCATAACAAATGGGGTACTTTAAAATGGGAAAAGGAGAACGCCACTTCAAGTTTCAGTAGCAGAACAAGGTTCTCCTATGAACCATGTTCATGAGGCTTTGTTCCGCAGGAAGACTGTAAGGACTGGCCCGTTCTTGCGCAGGGTAAATTGCACTGCTATCTTCAGAATCAGAGAACTCCATCTAAGAAAAAAACAGCCAGCCTGAGCCAGTTCTGCACTGTCTCAACCTGTAGGTTCTAAAACAAATCAGGCCCCTTTAAGAGAAAAAGCCTTGGGGTTAAACTAAATGTTCAGGTATTGACCCATAGTCCAGGTGAATAATTTTCTTTATGCTTATGGAAACATATGTAGCCCCAATATGGATCAGGGCCATGGTGCTCCAGGAAGAGAAAAGGGTCCAACTTCTCCCCCTCATTTCCCCCCAAAATCGAATTCCTTCCCTCAGCAGGGAATTAAAAGGAAAAAAAAAGCCATCCAAGTCAATGGAGACTTTTCTGCCTCCCCCAGGGGGAGGAGGGATTTCACAGGAAAAAATGGGAGGTGGGAAGATTAAATTATCCTTTCTGGAGCTTCACAGTCTTGATCCAAATTAGGAAGTTAGGCAATAGGGAACAGACTACATGTATCTTTACTTCTAATGTTAGCTACTCTGTTGTGAACTTTGGAATAAAGTTGTTACGAAGCACAACTTTTAGACTCAAGAATAATTGAATAAAAAATAAAATGGAAAAGTGTTCATATGGATAGGTCTACTCAATAGAAGGGAAAAGCTGGTGCTTGACAATTCTTTTTGTGCTCTAGTGAAAAGGAGGAAAGTTAAATCTCATCAGGTCAACCAACTTGTCCAACCCAAAAGGGATGAACCTGTCAGGGCTATTGCATTAACATCTCAAGGATTCAGTCTGTTACTGAAAATATTCACATGTCAGAAAGGAAGGAAGGAAGGTACATGCAGAAAAATATAAAGCAGGGATTTTGTAGCCAAAACGAATAGCATCATTTCTGCATATACACGCGTGCGCACACAGACAAGGTAAGCCTACAAAACAAGAGGGAATTTTATGGTTGTTGAATATGTGTTGGTCCAAACAAGGAAAAATTACGAGGACGGTTAATTCCACCCTTTAATGGAATGATGTGGAAATGATTTCATGTTTCCCATGTAGAACACAAAGTCTTGCTTCAGTAACACCATTATATTACTGAACGTAAAACTTGCAGTTCACTATCGCCCCTTATTATTGAGAGAGACTACTTCCCCCTTATTTCATTCATAGTTTCTTTCATTTTTTACTAATGCTGAAAATGTAAGTTGAACATGTTCAAGCATGGGCACAGAAGTGCACAGAAAAAACAATCCATGTAAAGGCAAGTAAAGTGTTTCTTGTTTGAAACAGCAATCAGTATTGCATTATGGTTGTGTTTGGAGTATAATTAAGGAATGGGAGCTACCGTTTCCCTCCCCCCACTCCCAAACATTCAGCTAAAATAGGCCACATTGTCAGCGCTGTGTGTGTGCTGCTATAATACCACACCATCACAGAATTTGTTATTTGGGTAAAGAATTCTACATCTTCAGCTGATACTTAAAAAAAAAATCAGACTTTAAAACTGCTCCAGTATAATGATCTGTCTCTTCCTATAACTAGTGGAAGAAGAATAGAGTCTCTACTGAAGGTAGTTAGAAACAGTTATTAAGGTTCCACAGAAGTACAGTAGACTCCCAACTATCCGGCCTAATGTGGCGGAAGGGCAGGCCGGATAGGCCAGAGTTCCATAAATGCTCACTTCCCACCCCACCCATACCATTAAACACACCCTTTTTATACCAAAACCCACTCTAATTCATATTTTCTGACCTCTTAGTACAGGCCAGTACTTTATAAATGTTTGTTATGTACTGTACATTTTAAAAATTTATTACAGAAAAAGGAAGTCCAAGGATAAAAATATTGTACACATTTTAAGATAAATTTTATAACGTCTAACTTAATTGCAGGAAACATAAAATCATGTACACTGTACAGTATGAATATATACACTTTTAAAATAAACAAAACATTAACATAAAACATAGGCTTAATTCTTACAAAAATTATTTAAACTTATTTTACTGTTCATTGATAGTTATTTTTTAACTAGGCCGGATAGTACGGAGACCGGATAGTCGCAAGCTGGATATTCAAGAGTCTACTGTAATGCCCATGCCACCAAACCTGTGCAAATTTAACAGGCAATCCAAGATCTAAGTGTATCTGTTTACTGAATCCATATTTTAGACTTTTAAGTGAGGATCTAGGACTTAATGGCCTGGCTCGCACATAACACTTACCCTTTGTTGAATTCTAGGTAGTTATGGTACATGAACACAGCCATACTAATAAACTACAGTATGTCAGCATGAACAATCCAGAAAGAGAACCCAGCAACAAATCATAAGTTCTCTTCCCAAGTTCTTTGTAGATAGCAACTCATAGTTAAATAACAGCACAGTGATTGCCTATAACAAGAACCCATGATTTGACAACTGTCATATGCCTATGATGCTTACACTAACTGAAACGTCCATCACATCTTGATCAAAAGCTCCTATCAATGCATCCATCCAGACAAACAGCTGTTGATCCAGTTCCTCTGCTCCCTGGATCAGCTCTGGAAAACCTTTCTTCTAATGGATCTTTCTTCTCTGTTCCAGTTAGGAACACTGTGCTAAGGGGAAATCTTACTTTGCTATTCTTCTGGGCCTGAGAAAATTTTGGCAAAAATCTCCCCATGTCAGAGGAAAAGCTCTAAGAACTGGCTGGGACCATTATTTTGTCTCCATGACATCATTAATTGTGGTCTTTTTACAACTAAATGCATAAAATCCCATCTGGCACTTCACAACAGCACTAGCAGTTTAAAGACCTTCACAATCTTTGTTACAATTCTGCAATAGTTCAACATTATATCATCTATTAGTGGGGTTTGTGTGTGTGTGTGTGTGTGTGTGTGTGTCTCTTGCAACTATATAGGCACAGGTGGAGAGGCTTCGTAGCCTCATTGTTTGCCTATCAATGCATCTCTCATATGAAGAGGGTTCTGTCTTTCTGTTAACTCTCGATTTTATATTTATTAAAACTAATGGTAAAGTATTTGGCCATTTATTTATTTATTTAAAACATTTCTATGCCGCCCCCATCACCACAAAGCCTCGGGGCAGCTCGGGTCCAGTCTCAGCCAAGACTTCAGCTAGCTTATTTTTAAGGACTCCATTTTAACATTCTATAGCCCCTACTGACTTTGGAAGATAAGGGCAATGGGAATTCTTCTGAATTTGTAAAGCTTTGCAAACTCCTTTAATGAATAACCCTGTAAAATGTGTCTCTCTGTCC